AAATAAATATATTTTTATTTGTAAAAGATAAAAACTAGTTGAAAATTAATATTTTAATAATAGAAGTTCAAGATATAAAAAGTGATATTGATAAAGAAAATCATAATGTAGATAACAAGAGTGTAAAAAATCAAAATATAGAAAATCAAGTTTCAGAAGATGTTTGTTTAAATATATTATTTTATTTATTTTATTTACTTTATTCTATTTTAAAATACTCTAAAAATTCTTTTATTAACAAATTCTTTTTTCAGTTATATTTTTATATATGATTATTCAAAAAGTTCAAGAATTGAAGCTCAATATAAATCAAAAGGAAAAACATATAATTTATATTATAATGTTATTACTTTAGGAACTTATCCTATAGTATCAAAATTAATTCAAAAAACAAACTATAATTAATACTTCAATATTGAATATCTGATAACTATATAATTAAAACAGAAATTGTTAAAAGAAAAGTTAAATATGAAACAAAATATAAATCTAATTCAAAAGTAAATTATACTGTTGTTTGAAAGAAAGGACATGCTGAATGAAGTATTAATAATACAAAATTAGTTATAACAGTTATTAATACATTTTTAAAAGTATAGTTAATTTGATTATATAATTACATTTTTAATAATTAATATTAATAAAATTAACTTTTATTATTAAATTATTTATATCAATATAATTTATTATTTTATTTTTAATTTATATTATTATATAGATTTAATTTAGTATTATATTATTAATTTTATAATTTTAAATTTAATATATGATTAATTCATTTAAACAAATATATAATTTAATTTTTATTTTAAATATACATGTAATTAATAAATTATATAATAAATTAATTTTATTTATTTTATTATAATTAAAAATTTAATTAAAAAAACTTTAAACTTTTTGAATTTCAAATTTTTGATTTTGATATTGAACTTTTATATATTATTCATATTAAATAAATTCAAGTCCTATTATTACAACAAAAGTTAATAAACAAATTAAACTATTTGAAGATATTACTTCATGTTCACAACAATACAAAAGACTTAAAAATTTTGGAAAAGATATAAAAAACTATTAATGAATTAATTGTAAAATACAAATTAACAAATTTATCAAAATAATTTATTGTATATACATATTATATTGAATTTGATTATAAAGAAAATCAAATTCAAATTAAATTTAAAAATTTGAATTCAAAAATTACTCAAATAAGATTGAATGCTATAGTAAGAGTATGTGATAAAGAACTTTTGAATCAAGATAGTTATAGATATTTGGCAGTTGTTATACCTAGTCTTTTTCATGAATATTTAGTTATTAATCATAGAAATGAAATAAATGAACTTATAAATGCTCAGATATCTGTAGAAATTTTTAATATAGATCAAAATATTAATCAATTCAATTTTGATAATAACAATAATAAAATTATTAATAATATTTTGATATAATAATGAAATAGAAAATAGTGCTTTTTGTTCTTTAATAACTTTATTTAAAATATTAATACCAATTTGGAAAAATAATTTAGTAATAATTCCTGGAGATACTTTTTACATTAAACTTGGAGGAGATGGAAGAAATGTAGGAAGAAAACAAAATCATGTAATTATTATTTTTTGTTTATTGAATGAAGAAAAAGCGATACTTAAATTCAGTAAATAATATAAGTATTTTTTATTCATATTGAATTAATTTTAACATTTAATATAATAATAAATTAATTTTTATTTTAGTTTATGTCTATATATGGGGAAAGAAACATATAAGATTTTAGACAAAGTTGATAAAATATTTGCACCACAATTAACAAATTTAAAACAGAATGAAATAATTGATGAAAATGGTAATCATTGGCCAATTGAATTCTTCTTTTCTGGAGATTGGAAATTTTCATATATTATTATAGGTCTAAATGTTCCAAACTCAAACTATTTCTGTTTATTTTGTGAATGTGATATTAAATTATATCATAACATGAATCTATCATAGCTACCTACTGGAAATAAAAAAGGTTAAATAATTTAATAATATAATAATTTAAATATATTAATTAGAAACCAAAAAATCTCCAATATTTTCTACAAGTGATTTACTCAATTATATACCTGATGAACTTTATACTTTATTATGTATATCTAACATATTATTGGAATCTTTATTTAAAGATTTATTTAGAAAAAATGATTTTGAATAAAATATTAAAGAAAAAATTAAAAAAAGAGTGAACTTAACATTCATTTTGAATTTTACTATAATAATTCATCTTGAAGTAATTGGAGTTGGACATCACTTATGAAACCAGATAAAAAAAAATAGTACAACATTTTCTTGTTAGTGAATTTATATCTGGAATACATGAAGTAATAATTGAAAAATTGTGAAAAGAATTTTATCAGATATATGAATTTATGAGAAAGTCAAATTATACAGAAAAAGAAATATTAACACTTGAAAATAATACAAAAAATTGGATAAAAACATTTATTTAGTCTCAAGAGAACAAATAAATACTATAACAAAAATTCCTGGAATATACAGAGCAAAAGATATTACACCATATATGTATATGTTGACAATGCATATACCTTTTTTCATGTGTCAGTTAAAAGAAAAAAACTTATCATTTAAATTATTTTCAACAAGTAGTATTGAAAAAAAGAATTATTGTCAGGTATTTTTTTTTAATTTTTATTTTATTAAATATTGTAATTACTAACATTGTTATTATATATTAGGCACAATTACTTTTTGGAGGAACAATGGGTGGAGGTAAAAAAAACAGAACAGTTATTTATGAAAACCAACAAATATTTTACTTAATTAATAATATTCCAAATGAAATTATATGCAAAAATATTAATATATGTGAATAATATAATATTAATAATATTAATATAATTTAATAAATAATATAAAATAATAATAATAATTAAACAATTTCATTTGCTTTTTTTACTAAATTTTTAAATGTAATATATAATTGTATTTTATTAAATATATCTATTGTTTATATGATATTTTTTTAAATTATTTATTGTTTGGAAAAATATTTTTAAGTTGAGATGGAACAAAATATATATATTTATTAATTATATTGTTAATTGTGATCCGACCTTCAAGGGATACAATTAACTATTAGCTAAAGGTATGGTAGTTAAACTAAAATATATTATTATTAACTAATTTATATTGCAAAAAGTATAATGGTTAAAGGATTTAGATATTGCATATTTATTTGAAAGAGACAAAGCTATGAGATTTTTATAAGGGTTTAACTAAACTATTTACAAGAATAAGGTATAACTAAACTAAACTGATAATTTCTAACACTAAAGAATTATAACACAAAAATGGTATACTGAGATCACAAAGCAAGGTATAATTCAACAAGGGTTTCAGTATTCCACTAAAAAATAATACAGAATTTCACTAAGAAATTACAATGGTATAAATAATAATCCACACAGTATTTATTATTTATAAGGTAAATCACAAAGTATTTTTATTAATAGAAACTAAACTGAACTGACTGAGGACTGAGCAAAGAAAAATTTAGCACTTTATATATATAATTAAAGTTATAATGGATTACGCTGTAGACTACAATAATGCATACACTATTAATTACACTGATGCATACACTATTAACTACACTTTCTACTACACTATCTATTACACTGTACAATACACTATTGAATATGCTGTACACTATGCTGTTGATTATGCTCAGATCTACAGTCATAATACTTATTTGTTGTATCAATTTCTAAATGATTTACATTAATAATTTCCTATAAATATATACTAATAAAAATATGAAATTAAGCTAATAAAATATAATTAAACTAATAAATACATGATGTTAAAATAATAATATAATAAATAGGATAGAAATATAATAATAAATAAAATTTGACCACTAGGGTCAACTGTATGTAAAGCATGATTACCATTTGATGATAATTCTTGAACAGATAATGATATTTGATTTCCTTCACTATCAATAATTAAATTAATTAATTAGCTAACAATTCAAAATATTTAAATACACTATATATAATCAATATAATCATACTTACTCATTTACAAACCCACCAGAATCAGTAATAAAATTAATTGATAAAATTCAAGTTAAAAAAGTCTATTATTCACTTTCCATTTCTTTTGTTTCCAAATAAAAGTTAATTTATATTGTCTCAAGTAAAATGTAACCTTTTGTTAAAGTATCCTTATTTTCATGAAATATAATTTGATCATATTTTAATATGCTTTTTAATTTTTCTCCATCTACTGTGCCTTCCAAAGTGCATTGATATTTTCACAGGCTTGATATGTATTTGAAACTATTCTCATTTTCAAACAAAGATAAAAAAAATGCATCAATTATTATATTTTTTTTCCAATTGAGCGTCTATTAAACCCTAGACTATTTTTTAAACAAATTATCATCACATCTCTATAAAAGGATAAGGTTTCTTCTGAAGGTTTACCAAGTATATAATGGTGTGGAACAAATTTATTGTTTTTGTAATTTTTTCGTTTGTGGCTCTGAATTTTTTTCTTTGTATCATAAATTTTAAAACAAAGTAGGCAAGGAAAAGTACACGTAGTGGTCATTGAAAATAATAATAAAACGTCGTGCGTGTATATTATAATCGATAATTCAATAATTATAATTTTATTGGTTGAGTTGATGAGCAGTTCCAGGTGACAAAATGAATGTATATCATAAGCAGGTGATATATCGAAGTGAAACAAATCAGCCCATATGTTAAATTATATATCACCAAGCGAATTTCTGGTTAAAATTAGCAATACTCTTTAATATTTTGTGTTTATTAAATAAGTTGTAATGTAGTTTTGCCAACTTGAGCTTTAATCTGACATGTAAAGATGATGTCAGAATTTTTAAATTGACACTATGTAAAATTGTCTTTCTATATAGTTTTATATTTGAATTTTGTATGTCTAATATTGGTTTGTAAATTTGTATGCCTAAATACTTTAATAAAACTTATTTTCTTCATAAACTTACGAATGATGATGATGATATTGATTCCAACCGCCGGAATGCATTATTAAGTTGGCCCTTTGAGATTGAATTTTGAATTAAGTATTAAATCTGAATTTTTTATTGCGAAAAAGGAAGTGGTTTTGTTTCCTGAAAAGGATATCCAAATGATTTGCACTCAAACTATACATTAAGGCATTCTGATAATGCAATGCTAATACTTGAGAGTTTGGTTTTTGAAAATAAAGTTAAAAAAAAAAAAAAAACTAAATGGCTCAAAGGCATCAAACGTTTCCTAACCATCCATACATTGAATTTATTACATTGACTGTAAATAATCTTACATACCCTACCTCGCCTTTAGTAAATAAAGTATGGGTGAAGACACTTGTATTCACTGCAAGCGAGGTCAAGTTTTCGCATCAAATTCAGCCCAATAACAGAGTCATTCAATCGACAAACCCCGAAAAAGTTTTGATGGCTGATTTTCAGAAGTTGCGTTTTGAAAATCAAGCTTCGTCAGATTACATAATCAGAATCTTAACCAATGGAATTATCATTAACGAAAAGCGTTACCATTATGTTGGGCAAAGCAATTCGCATATAAAACAGCGTAAATGTCTTTTACTTCAAGCAGATGATCCACGAGAAATCCAACGATTTCTTGATGGATTTGGGGACTGGTCCAAGTTTAAAAGTGTTGCTAAGTTAGCTAAAAGAATTGGTCTATTGTTTTCGTCCGGTGATAAAGCTTTTAACTTACCCACTGAAAGATATAAAATAATTGATGATATAGAAAGAAATGACTTTTGCTTTACCGATGGGTGTGGTTTTGTTTCTAAAGATACTATCAAAAGAATAACCAGTAATTTGAAACTGGTGTTTCGTGAGAATCGGCTTTATCCCAGCGTCATTCAAATACGTTATCAAGGATTCAAAGGAATACTTTTGCTGGGAAATCATCTATCTAAAAAAATTTCATGTGAATTTCGAAAATCAATGAATAAATTCAATTACAGAGGTCCTGATGACTTTTTTATTACGGGTTACTCCAAGCCATACACTTTTGGAAGACTCAATACTCAAACTATTATGTTATTATCTGCACTTAAAGTTCCTGATGATGTTTTTGTAAAAAAACAGGCTGAACACTTTGCTCGATTAGATTTAATGCTTACAGATTTATCTATTGCATTTGAATATCTCTTAACTAATGGGCAGGTAGATCTCGCAGGTAAATTATTTGAAAATGGTTTTACAGAAGAAGTAAACTGTTACCTAAAAAAATCATTCAAACAAGAGCGGGAGACATCATTGAAACCTAAAAGAGGACCTGATGGTGGTTTCCAAGAAAAATTGCGACTTATTGTAGAGAAGTCGCGCATAGTGTATGGGGCTTGTGACCCAACTCCCACGTACGTTCTACGCGAAAATGAGTGCTTTTTTAGACCAACAATACAAAATAAACCAACCACCATCCTTGGACCCATTTTTTGCGTCCGTAACCCATGCTATCATGCTGGCGACATTGTAGTCTTGAATGCTGTGGACATTCCTGAATGTAAAAATATTGTAGATGTATTAGTGTTCTCTGTAAATGGTGATGTCCCAGCTGCCCACAGATCTGCTGGAGGTGATTTGGATGGTGACAAATTTTTTGTGTGTTGGGATAAAGAACTTATGCCACCAATTACAGTTGAGTCATATGGATATCCAGGAGCTAAGGAAAATACTCGCCCCAATATCAAGCGATCCGATTTGATCAAGCACTTTTCTACACAATCCAATGCTGGTGTTGCTCGATGTGCTGACTTATTTTTGAAATGGGCTGATGCAAAGGGACCTCGTTGTGAGGAATGTCTTCAAATCAATAAGTTATTCTCACATGCTGTAGATGGCTCATCTGTAAATATTGCGGATGTTCTAAAACATCCACCCAAAGATGAGGCAGTTTTCCAAAGTAGAATATGGAACAAACTTGTTGACATAGCTATGAAGAGACGAGAAGATAAAGCAAATCAAAACAATAGAAATGATGATAATGATGAAGAAAATGATACACTTTTTCTGATGATAAAGGACCGAGATGAACTGTGTGCATTTTTGGAAGAGGATGGTAATGAAGCAACAGATTACGAGATAATGTGTTTTCTCTTTCGATGGTGTCGTGCTAATAATGAAGACATCAAAGAGTTTCTCTATTTCCTTGACTTTTCTGCATTTTATACACATGAAAAGTTACTCGCACTTGCCACGGGAGAAGTTCCTCGTCATCTTCTGTTTAATGCACTACACATGTCGAATATCCTGAAGCCTGAACAAATAAGTCATTTTAACCTTGGTGAGGCAGATCATCACTGGAAATTATTCCACATGGAAAACGAAATTACTTTTTCAACCAATCTCATCTCTGATCTTTCGAAAGCTATAGCCAACTTCCGTCGTGTCTTTATTGCACTTGAATTCAATCATGAGCTCACCATCTGTATCTCTTTGCATGGAAACTTTGAGCCTGACTTGGAAAATAATGCAGATGGAAAAATTGTTGTTTATGGATTCACCCAAAGTGGGCGAATTAAAGACAAAAAATTTTGCCAAGCTAATTATAAACTTTTTTATAATGAAACTTATTTTCAGGTTTATGTTTCTCATAAGCGAAACACTTTTGTATGGATGGGCATTCCCAAAAAATTAGATACGCGGGTGGTTTCACTCAATGAACTTAACGTTAAATCTTCCATAAGTGTTGCTATTGACAAATTGAATAACAGAACTTCTAGAGTGACAAGTAAGATCCAAAAAAAGATGATAGTTGAATCTGAAATTTATGTCGTAAGCAATCAAGATGGACTTCGTCCAAGGTATCAAGCGGTTAACCCTGACTACAAAATAGAAGTGGAAGAACTAAATATTGATGCAAATTATAATCCAATAAATCCTAAAAATCCTGAAAATGATGATGACAGAAGATTATTGTCTTGTTCTTACTCCAATGATTTGGATGAGTTAATGAGGATGGCGGAATGTTGGGCTAAGTATGGTGTTTATGACAAAATAATTTTAGCTTATGTAAAGTATTTAGAAACAAATCTCCCAATATCTGATGATGATCTTCAACAATTAATTGACTTTTCAACAAGAAATCCAATTGTTCATAGCCCATTGATTGAATTTTTATCAAGAAATTATTCACCAGAATCATCAGAGTCACTAGAAATTCCGAGTACTGCACTGGTTTCCTTGATCGGAACTTGTCTGAAATCTTGTAAATCATCAAAAGAAACATTGATCATGGAAAATGTATTAAAACTTTTTAGTTATCCAGTAACATTGAGCATGTATCAAGCTTGGCAAGTTCTCACTAATCTTGTCACAGATTATCCATATTCTAAAACATCTTTGGAATATTTAGATCGTCTATTTGATTTATTAGAGAAAAGACAGCCTGTGACATCAGAAGGTACATATTTTATGCATCAGGTCAAGACGCTATGCTATCAAACTTTGGAAGAACTCTCTACTTCCAAACGGACACCGAAAAACCGATATCGTGCGTATAAAAGTCAAGCTCATTCAACGAGTCGATATACTCTTATGTCAGAGGGACCAATTTCGGTCAAGGTTCGATCAGGTGATATAATTTTACTGAAGCGACTTAATCGTAAATCAGTCGAGCCAATTTCGAAAATACGCGCAGTTGTTATCTCCACAGATCGTGAACTAAGTATAGATATTTCGTGGGTTCCTCGAGATATTACAATAGCAACATGGGAAGTGATACAAGTTGGAAATATCATTGGATTTAAATATTCGATGGAAGCATTCAAAAAACTGTATCCAACTCAAGATGAGAAAGCTTCAACGCTTTTAAATATTCTTTTGGATAAACAAGATCCCACAACAACAAGAACTATAGAGAATGGTGATGATCCTATACAAGGACTTAATCTCAGTCAACAGACTGCCGTTTATCAGGCTGAAAATAGAAATCTCACCCTTTGGCAAGGACCTGCAGGAACCGGAAAAACCAAAAGCATATTCCAGTTGATACTTAGGCTTCTCGATCGTAATCCAAGTCTACCCATTCTTGTGACAGCAGCAACAAATGCTGCCGTTGATAATGTTGCCCTGCTTTTAGTTGCGCATGGGGGAATTGAAATGATACGTATAGGCGATAAAAGCTCAATTCATCCTAATTTACTATCTATAACACTTGAAGCTGGATTGGATGGTGCGGTTAGAAGAATCCATTCAAAAAAGTCTAAGGAATTATTAAAAGATGCAAAAGTTATCTTTGCTACATGTGTTGGATGTGGTACGACTCTTTTAGATAAAAAAAAATACGATTTTGTTATAGTGGATGAAGCTTCTCAGGTGGCTGAGCCAACTTGCCTTATTCCGTTGGCAAAAGATTGTGCTCGTTTCGTATTGGTGGGTGACCACAAACAATTACGTCCGTTTTGCTTGCCGATGGCCGAAATTGTTGGGTATTCTATTTCATTGTTCGAACGAATGAATAACAATAATTATCCAATTTGTTTACTTGATACTCAATACCGTATGCATCCAGGAATCTCTGAGTTCCCGAACGTTTATTTTTATGAAAGAAAATTGAGGGATGGCATTGGCGCCATAGATAGGCCCTTGGTGAATGGGTTTGCATGGCCAAACGTAAATGTCCCAGTAGCATTTGTTCAAGTAGCTGGAGAAGAATTAAGTTTCAAAGATTCTAAATACAACCAGGCAGAAGTAGACAAAATAGTTAGAATTGTAGAACTTGTTGCAGAATCCGGAAGTGTGGCTCCAGATGAAATCGGCATCATTAGTTTGTATTCTGCTCAGTCGGAAAAAATGAAAGCTGCATTACAATCCTGCCAAAATTCATCTGTTCATTCAATAGAAGTGAAAACAGCTGATGGTTTTCAGGGGCGAGAGAAGCAATTGATACTTATCACCTGCGTCCGTTGCAATGGAATTGGAAATATTGGATTTTTGGATGATCCACGTCGTTTCAATGTGATGCTTACTCGTGCAAAAAGGGGGCTTATCATTTTTGGAGATCAGAAAACCTTACGTACTAATGAGATGTGGAAAAATTGGTTTACTTGGAGCGAGGCATATGGATTGGTTTCAAATACCTAACATTGTAGTTTGTTTATTATCAATCTCAAAAAAGCGGGTCATTTGCAATTTCTGAAACATTCAAACGAGCAATTTCATTTTGTTTGTTGATCATTGTTTTATTAAATAAATGGAAAAGTAACAAACGCGAATAATTTGATTGTAGTTTTTTATAATAAATATATACAACTCTCTATTGTTGTTACGCGCTAAATAATACGAAAGATCTGTTATTTCTTCTTTATTTTCAATAATTTATCATTACATGAATTTTTCATGGTATACATTTATTAAATCAAAGAAAAAACGAATAAATGAAATGAAATCAAAACTTCTAATAATGTTTCAGAAAATTATTTAAAAATCCACAATATGCATAATAAATTTGATAAATTTAAAATATTTGTCTGGAAGACATCATACTTTGACATAAATTGATGATTCTTGTCACGACTATATTTTTTTTTTTTTTATTACGCTGCGTGTCGCATACTAATTATCATAACAAAAACCACAAAAACAAAAATGGTTAAATTTAGCGCCAGACTCAAAGTGGTTTCCATTTTCTACTTTTAAAGCCAAGCCAAAAGAATCAAATAAATATGAAATGTAACTATATTTAGGAGTTTTCTTTTACTATTTATCAACGAATGAACAATGATGCTGTGTTTTTCTCTTGAACCATCATTTCACTTGATACCATTTCGTATGTTTATCCCTACCAGATAAAGAGTAAACCGGTAGAAAACAAGTTAAATGCAGTCTACCTAATTAAGCGAAGCAACGGAAATATGTTTCGGTTTTCCCTAATAAAGAAACAAAACGGATTCTGCGTAAGTTCGTATCAAAAGTAAATATAAAAGCTATTCACTCAATCTTTTTTTGTATAGTTACAACGATGTCTTCTGTAAGCGTCTCAAATTCAATTTTGCTCGTTTGTTTCACCTTCATAGCTAGCGTAATCCTTTATAACATTCGTGCCGCCAAAAAGCCATTCGGATGCCAATCCGTCCCTGGTCCACGTCTTCATTTTGGCACTCGCGTGTTAATGTTTTTACAGGTGAATTTCCTACATACAGTCCCAGAATTTACGAAATTTTGGTGTCAACATTATGGAGATACTGTGGGGGTATGGATGAATGGTGGCTACACTATTGTAACTTGTGATGCTGAATTTTCGCAAAAAATACTTTCTGGAACAGAATCCAAGAATTTTATTATACGTATGGGAAACAAAGATGGATTAAAAGCAATTGGAATGTATAAAAAAGGAATTATTTGGAATAATGATGTTTCAAAATGGAATCTCCAAAGACATATATTTCAGTCTGGCCTGTCTTCCGATGTTCGTCGAAAAGCTTCCATCGTTGCGAGGAACATAACTAGACAGGAAATTCATCGTATCAAGACTTCTGTACGAAAAGATAATACTATGCCAACAGTCGATCTTATAAATGTACTTCGTCATATCACTCTTGCTGTCGTCCTTGACGTAGCCTTCGGCACCAAATTGGATCGGGAAAGATCGGAGATCCTCATAGATTGCATTGTAAATTATTTTAAAGCATGGGAATTTTTTTTATTAAAACCACGTTTCATTTGGCCTCTGTTTCCATACCACGTTTACCGTCACCAAAAAGCTGTTTTAAAGTTGCAGGAAGAAATTCGAAACCTTTCTAAAGATCTGAACCCACAAGCGTCTCCTTTCTTACAAAACCTTTATAACAATGACTTAACAACAGAGGAGATACATCAATGTATTCTCGAAATGATCCTTGCAGGCACAGACACTTCTTCCGTTAGTTTATATTACACCATTATGCTTCTCACCGAAAATAGAAAGATAGAAAATCAAATGTTGGATTCTTCGAACGATTTATTTATAGAAGCTGTTTTGCGAGAAGGTATGCGATTAATGCCTGTTGGGCCAGTCATCATCAGGAGGGCACTAGCCGACTGCGAAATTTCTGGAACACACATTAAAGCAGGAACAAATATTGTGATACAACTTGCACTTCAGAATCGAAATCCCAAGTGGTTTAATAATCCTTTAAGTTTTGATCCTCAACGCTTCCTACAAAACGAAAATTTGATTGCTCTTTCGGCTCCAATGGGTTTAGGACCTAAATCATGTGTAGGTCAGCATTTAGCAATGGTAGAAATGAAACCAGCCATATCTGGACTACTTGCAGCATTCAAATTTGAAAGGATAAATGCAACAAAGCTCTTCATTGATACTAAAACAAAGTGGGATATTGCACAACAACCGATAGTCAATGAAATTATTATTGCTCTTCCTAGGAAAAAAATCGTTCTTGTTGGTGCTCACAGTGTTGGCAAAACGACGCTGGCCAATTTAATTGCAAGTCGTACGAATGCAGTTTTGATTTCTGAGACAGCGAGAACTGTAATGAAAAAAATGAACGTGAGTCCGGAACTCCTTAGAAAAAACCCACAAAAAAGTCTAGATTTTCAGGCTTCCATAATACAACACCAATTCGAAAAAGAGGGACAAATCAAGCACGAATTTGCGATTCTGGATCGATGTTCAATAGATGCTTTAGTGTACGCCAAGACATTTTGTGAACAATGGGAGAAATTATTAGACATGCCAGAAACATGCAAATGTATTGAAAATTATAAAAGCGATGAATATGTTATTTTCCTTATTGAGCCGCAATCGACTTGCTGGAAAGATGATGGCGTCCGAATGATGTCAAAGGATTATGATGATTGGAAAGCTTTTTCCGAAAGATTCAAAGATATAATGAACCTATATAAAATAAAGTTTCAAGTCTTGGAAGAATTAGACCTAAATATACGTTTTATGAAAGTTTTTCACACATTATTTGATTGTAACTAATATTTATAAATATTATAAACTAAATATTTATATTACGGCTGTGTTTATTATAATTTAATGTAATGCTTGCAATATACAATTAATAAAAATATTCTACAGTTTTACTTTTTTTATTCTTCTTTGTTCACTACACTTTCAAGTTTATTCATAGCTGATTGAACATTTGCGGCAGGACCACCCCCAAGAATTTTTGTCATCTTCTCATTTTCTACTGTTTCTCTAGATCTGGTTTCATCTTTCAATTCTTCAACTAATTGTTTTTGATCCACATCTTTATTAACAGGTGGAAGTTTCTTATTTGATATAAGAGTTGTTGGATTCTCAAACCGTTCTTGACCAATTGCTGTTGCATATTTATCTCTTGCTGATGCTAAAAAAAAAAAAAAAAAGAAGAAAATTTCAACTAATTCATTATTAATTTATGATTAATTTATTCGAGGATATAAATTTATTTATGATAATTACCAACAGTAGCAGCCTGGGATTCGCGTGGATCAATTCCCTTTTCACTTTCTTCTCGAGCATAATCGATCGACACCTTCTTTAATTTAGCAAGACGTTCATTTTCAACTTCGGGTGGTATTCCTTCACCATGAATTACGTATTCATTCTCTCCAGGTACTTCATGAAAGTCTTCATATGGTTCAGGAACATTTGCTATATAATATATAAATAAAAAATTTATTGTTATTGTAATTGATTTCATATAACAATAATGATAAATATTTTTTTTATAGTACCTCCAACACCCAATTGCCCATATCTCAAATTTCTTTGTGTCTCATTTGGTTTTGGAACATAATCACCAGCTGTATATGGATCGCTAAAAGTTCCTCTTGGCGGTATTGTAGTCATTTTCAAGAATTTTGCAAAATACCCAGACGAGAAGAATATTTGATTTATTTTATATCTAAATTTTATTAATTTATTTTTTTGATTATTAATAATGATTGTGTAGTTTTACGGAATAATTTTATCATCGTTGTCATCGTTTGATCATTCTTTTTGACCAAGGTATCAAAGTGAGAATTTTACAATCACATGTGAAATGCATTGAATAATATCATTACTATTTGTAATAACACTACACTAATTTATACAACTATGGACATCCATTTTCGAATTTTTATTGCTTTAAATTTAGAAATGATTCAAAATTTATTTATAACAATTGATGGTTAAACAATATGATTTCCTTTGTCTACTTGCTTGTTATGACAGATTTATGTTTATCAATTTTATTACAGTATTAACTGTGCATACATCTGTATTATGCGCTTTTAGATATAAATTTCTTGTAATTTTTCTCAAATAGAAAATACATTTTTTTTCGATAAAAAATAAAAAATAAGGATTCATACTCCTCGAAACGAATAAAATGGATAGCATTACTGGCACAAGTTTAGGAGGAAGCGATGATCTTTGTGTTAGAATTGATGTAATGTATATTCATACCATAGATTATTTCCTATTAATCCGTTAAACTAATTTTTTTTTTTTTTTACATTATTTTAGAATGAAGATTGCCCATTTGTGATCTCAAGTATCATGGTTTTCAAAGATAATTTAGATATCGAACTTATTAGAGACCAATTTCGTCAATTAGTTATTAAATTTCCTCGATTTAGATCTGTTATCTATGGGGGAACATTTTGGTCAAGATATAAATGGCGAGAAATAAATGATTTCGATGTATGCGACTTTATTGAAACTCGACAACTTGGCATTGGCAATCTTGAAGAATTAAAAGAATGTGCTGCAAAATGTATTTCGGAAACAATGGATCTTGATCAATCATTATGGAGAGCTTATGCGATATATGGTTTGGAAGGTGGAAAATGTTCAGCATTGGTTATTAAAGTTCATCATTGCATTGGAGATGGTCAAGGCTGTATGCACGCACTATTGAGCTTAACGTCTGATGGACATGATCAATTATTAGAAAGGATTAAATTTTTTAAAGATAAAAATTCTTTCTTATCTTCTGAATCTAAAATTCAAACGTCATTTTTTACATATTTAATGGGATTTCTTTATAATTTTTTGTTATTTATGGTTATGATTGGTTATGCTTTATTTGAGCCTATTGGACTTATTTTTATGTCGATATGTTCAAGACAAAATTTAAAATATGTTGGAAATGTAAAATATACGAGAAAGACATTAAATTGGACGGAAGAAATTAAAACAAGCGATATTAGTATCATACGTAAAACTTTTGGTGTATCATTTAATGACGTCCTGGTAATTAATTATAATTTTATAATAATTTTATCATAATTTATAACTTTATCTTTTAAAAATAATTATTCTTGATATAAGGTAACAATTATTACACGCGCTATACGTATTTATTTCACCGAGATAAATGATCTTTTGGATGAAGAGTTAATGATATTCATCCCTATTTCTTCAAGAGTTTCAACAAATTTGGACTGCAATAATTCAGCTATAGGTTTTGTAAAATTTACTTTCTATTTTTATTTACATTTTATTTATTTGTTATTTACATTTTATTTATTATTTTTAGTTCGTTTTATAAAAGTTTCATTGAAAGAACAAACTATTGAAGAATCAATAAAACATGTTCAAAAAAGAATGAATGAATTAAAAAAACAAAATTTTGCTTCTTATTTGATATATCTTTTCTATGAATATTGGCCAATTCCTGGAATTTATTTTAAAAAAATGCTTTATTCCATACAATCTAATGGACATGGAGTTATCACAAATGTTCCTGTATGTACACATATTTTCTAACATTTTATCCTTTTATATCCTAAAATCTAGAATATTTATTTATTATTCATTTTATGACAATTAGGGACCAATGCGTCCGTTGACTTTTGCTGGACAAAAAGTAACAAAATTCGTGGTAACTCCACCTCAAAATTTTCCTGGTGGTAAGTAAAAAAAAAAAAAAAAAATGTATCTTTTGTTTGACACAGAATGCGAATACTGTAAATAAAAAAAAAAATTTTTTTTTTTTAAACATAGGTCTAGGTATAGGTGTCGTAAGTTATGCTGGTAAAGTAACTTGCAGTATATATGAGGATATTATGCCTCAGTACCCTAATATCTCTAAGCGTATTGCCGAGTTGATTTCTGAAGAATTTGAAATATACTTAAAAGCAGCAAAAAAATTAGATTAAAAAAATTTGGTTATTTTATATCTTTCACGTGCAAATGGAAATTAACCAAATAAAAACTTCCAAATTTTTTAAAAAAATCGTTTTTTCGCGCAGGATTACACGTGATTTTAAGCAAATTATATTTTAGACTTGTGTATAGATCTAGATCTTTTAAAATTTTTTCTCTCTTGCATTAAATTATTAACAGGAAAATTGCCAGAATATGTGTAAAATATATATATATAAATCTCATTGAAAATTATACCTAATTTTAAAAAACCCGATTTTTAAGGATAAAATTTTTTTGGTTAGCACTGTATAAAAATCAAATTTTTATAAATAATAACTTGAAATTTCTAAGCCATCCAACTAATGTCTAAAAAACTACGTATTGCAATTATTGGTGGTGGTATGTTTAAATAAAAATATTTTTTTAATAATAAAAATTAATGGAATAAAGTATTAAATCCTCTAAAAAAAAAAAAAAAGGAAGTTCCGGCCTGACAGCTATAAAGGAATGTCTTGATAATGATTTTGAACCTATTTGTTTTGAAGAATGTTCTGATATTGGTGGACTTTGGAGATTTGTTGATGTCGATGATGATAAAAATAAAGATCCACACTCTTCAGTTTATAAAAGTACCATTATTAATACTTGTTCCGAGAAGGTTGAGTATCGTAAAAATAAAATCCTTAAAATCCTTTATATTTTTATAATATCCATGAATATTTTACTTTTCTTTAGATGACCTTTTCGGATTTCCCAATTCCGCCAGATTGGCCGGCTTATATGCATAATTCTTTAGTATTAAAGTAATTATTAATAATAATTTTAATTTATTGAAAGAAAATTTTTCACCATATTTTCTATATAATTTTAATTTTCCCAATAATATGAATAATATGATAGATACTTTAAAAAGTACGCTGAACATTTCAATCTCCTGCCTCATATTAAATTCAATGCGTCAGTATTAAAGGCTTCAATACTTCCTGATAAACGTTGGAATTTGCAATATACCATTCGAGGTGAAAATTCCAAAGAAGAGATTTTCGATTATGTAATGGTATGCACTGGTCATCATCGTTATCATAGATGGCCAAAATATAAAGGAATGGATGTATTTAAAGGCGAACAGATACACTCTCATTTTTATCGAACGTAAGCGTTAATCTTTAGTTTTTATTATGGTTATTATTATTTGCCATATTAATATTATTATCTTTTATTTGAGTTAATAGTCCAAACGCTTTTCAAAATAAACGCGTTATAGTTGTTGGCATTGGAAATAGGTGAATTAAAAAGTATTTCTCCTTTAATATATTTTATGTTAATATTATATTGATATCATATTTCCAATTTGCACTATTCACATATATATTAGTGGAGTTGATATTTCAGTCGAATTATCTCACTTCGCATCACAAGTTTATTTATGTGTTCGAAGAGGATCACTTCCTTGGATTTTTCCTCGTATTGTAAATGGAAAACCAATTGATCATTTTTCACAAAGATTTGATAGATTTATTCCAGTTTCTTATCGTAATAGGAGGATGCTGAAACGTATTAAACAAAGTATTGGAGAACATCCACCTGGATTAGAACCTAAAACACCCATATACTCTTCTCATCCCACAATTAAATCTGATTTTTTTGAACGCCTGGTTACGGGAACTATTATCGTTAAACCAAATATTAACGAATTAAAATCCGAGAATAAACAAGTTGAATTTGTGGATGGAAGTATTTTAGAAGACATTGATTATATTATTTATGCTACAGGATATAATATAAATTTTCCATTTTTGGATAAAGAAATTGTATCAGGTGGAGAGGAAATGGAAAAAGAATTCGATGTTGAATATAGAGAGAATTTGGTTTGGTTGTATAAAATGATTTTACCTCCAAAATTTGAAAATATTGCTTTTATCGGATTAATTCAAACCATTGGGCCTATATTTCCTGCTGCGTAGGTTTTAATTTTATTAACAAAATTTACAATAATAATTTATTTATAATAATTTATTTATTTATACTAATATTATGTCCCACGCTTTTTTAAAGTGAAATGCAATGCCGTTATGTGACCAGCTTAATTAAGGGTTTGATTAAACCATTACCATCTCTAAGCGAAATGAATAAATCAATTCGGGAACGTCATCAAAGAATTCGAGGAAGTTTTTATAGTTCTGCACGGCATACGATTCAAGCTTATTTAATAAATTATTTGGATGAATTATCCAGAGATATTGGTTGTTATCCAAGTTCTTTTAAAATTATAAGAAAATATGGATTTAAATTTTGGATGATTTTTTATTTTGGAAAAGAAACTCCTATAATTGTATGTTTTTTTTTTTTTTTTTTTTTTTTTTTTTTTTTATTAAATTTATTTGTCAAATAATGCAAAATACGCGAAATCCACGAAGAAGATTGAATTTTATTATTCATTATCATGAAATCAATTTTTTTTTTTTGTTTCTCAGTATCGTTTATTTGGAAGGAATTCTTGGGATGGTGCTCATGATGCTATCCTTCTTTATAACAAAATTGATCCAAAAACCGGAAAGTCTTTATCAAATAGAAATAGTAAAGGGATTATACAAATTATTATTAAACTTTTGTTATTTTTACTATTTGGTATCATTCTTTATTTAAACAGAGCTTATGTTGGGTAGGTTCATTCATTCGAAAAATTCTTTCTATTAACAAAAAGGTGATCAATAAAAAACTAATATATATTTTCATTTAATTTGTATATTTTAGCGAATACTTGGAAAAATATAATTTAAATTCTTATATTAGGCTTCCAGTAGGAAGAGATTAAGATGCACAATACTATAATAATAATAATGTATTCAGTGAATTTATATGAATAATATTGTAAATAATAATTTTATATTTATTATTTCGAAAATTAGCGTACACCCTCACTTCTTAATAGTACGTGCTATTATTTATTATTTAGTATTTAAAAGAGTATACAAATATAGGTGACTGTGCTACACGGAAGTTTTCTTGCCTTTTAATGTCATGCATGAAATCTTTTTAAAGTATATATAAGTTTTAAATGGTGTGTATAAATTCGATTTTGAATGTCCTTTTTTTTTATTTTTTGATTTAAGCGTGTGAACGTTTAATGATAAAACCTGAAATTAAATAGATGACCAACGAATTGAACAATGTATGCATAAAAGTATTATTATTATTTTAACTATACCATTTCCATCAATTGTATACAAATCAATTATTTATATAATTATATCGCGTGATCAATATAACACCGTATTATTCTTCATGAATTGTCAAGATATTTTTCATTTCAACGCAACCATGTCTACGATTATTGATCTCTCTTGTTTAATCAAAGGAAACAGGCCTTCGTGCACTTTTAGAATTAAAGTTGACATTTCAGATGATGTTTATCGTTTAAAAGAATTTATTAGAGACCAAGAAAAAAATATCTTTGGTAATTTCGATATTGAAGGAGATGTATGCAGACGATATAATTAAAGAATACTTTAATAGTGCACGCGATGTAATTTCGAAACATATTCATGTTTTAATTGAAACAAGTATGATATGCACCTTCTGTTAAATTTCAAAATAATATTTACATTTCACTTCTTGTTTCTCATTTAATTTTGCACTTAATTATCTCAGGGAGAAAGAAAGACATTATCAATAAAAGTTATGAAAATGAAGATAGTACTGAAGATAGTACTTAAGATAGTACCGCTGATTCTAGACAAAATGCATTTTGGGGCTAAATATAGTAAATTTTAATAAATGTATAATATATATATATATATATATATCTCTCATGCAAAAACTTTATTTGGTTGTTTATATCGTTCTATGAATTTCTTCTTGAATATTGATATTCATATCTGATTTTAGAGTTTACAGTACAGTATAATAATAATTTATATGCACAATAAATGTGATGTGATAATGAATCGAATTTATTCTTGTTCGCTTTTTTTTTTATATAAATAGATTGAATATTCTTTTCAAAATATTAAATCTGCATTTTTTTTTTTTTTGAAATAAAAAAAAATAAAATAAAATAAAATATGAAAGAATCGAATGAAAAGCGAATCGCAATTATCGGTGCTGGTAATTAAATACATATATGATTAATAATAATAAAATGTTAAAAATGTTAAGAATGTATTATAATATTATTTTTATTTATCTGTTATAAGGTATTTCGGGTCTTGCGTCAATTAAAGAATGTTTGGATAATAATTTGATTCCTGTTTGTTTTGAACAAAATTCTTTTATTGGTGGACATTGGAAAAATGGAGAAAAAAATAAAAATAATAAAGATTTTTATTCCTCGATTTATAAAAATCTCGTAACTAATACTTCTAAGCAAATGGTGAATGAATTATTTAATATTATCTAAAATATTATTTAATATTTTATGTTAATTTTTTTTTATTTTTATTTTTATTTTTATTTTTATTTTTTCATATTAATTATTTAGGCAACATATTCGGATTTTCCAATTCCGGCAGAATGGCCAAACTTTTTAGGCTCTTCTCTTGTTGAAAAGTAAAAAATTTTTATTCCTTATTATATTATATTATTTATTTATTTATTTATTTATTTATATTTTGATAATTAAACTAAGAAATAAATTTAAAATATGCTTAAATATATTATTACTCTTTAGATATATTGAAATGTATGCTAAAAAATTCAATCTTTTACCATACATCAAGTTAAATACTAAAGTAATAAATGTATCAATGCTTGACGATAAACGATGGAAGATTAAATTTATTACTCAAGATAAAAATAATAAAAATCTGATTACTCCAAATGAAGAAAAAGAAGAAATATTTGATTATGTAATGGTTTGTAATGGTCATCATCATCATCCTCAATTACCAAAGCTTAAAGGAATGGATAAGTTTAAAGGTGAACAAATTCATTCCCGTTCTTATAACGAGTGAGTTTTTACTTTTTTATTTTTATTTATTAATTTTATTATTATTGTTAATTACGTTTAATTCATATTTATTATTATTATTCTTCTTTTTATTATTATTCTTTTTATTATTATTACTGTTAATTAACGATAATTCATATTCATATTTATTATTTTTGTAATTTAGCCCAGAAGATTTTAGAAATAAACGTGTTTTAATTGTTGGTAGTGGAAACAGGTAATTATTATAATTGATTGTAATTGATTATTAAATATAGTTATTAATATCTGATTATATATATATATGTATGTATACATATATATTAGTGGATTAGATATTGCAGTACAGTTATCTTCTGTCGCTTCACAGGTTTATATCAGTCTTCGATCTGGTGAGTATTCAATTTTATATTAACAATTTATTTATTATAATTTTAGATTATTAATTAATTTATTTATTTTATTTATGTATATAGGAAGATTACCTTGGATAATTCCTCTTTATCTAAAAGGAAAACCATTAGATCATTATTCACGATTTATAATATATGCCATTCCACCTAAAATTCGGAGGAAACTATTGGAAAAAACAATTTTAAATACCTATGATCCATTACCTTCTTGTTTAGAAAATTTAAAACCCGTTGATCCTATATTTAGTACAACGGCAATATACGTAAACACTGGTATCATTGAATGTATAAAGAATGGAAGTATTATTGTAAAACCGAATGTTCTTGAATTAAAATCAAAAGAAGAAGGAAGTAATCGAAAGAATAATCAAGTTGAATTCATTGATGAAAGTATAGAAAATATTGATGTTATCATTTATGCTACTGGATATAAAATAGATTTTCCATTTTTAGATAAAAGTATTATCACAGGAGGTGATGAGATTGAACAAGAATATGGAAAAAAATATGAAGAAAATTTAGTTTGGTTATATAAAAGAATGTTTCCTGTCAAATATCCAAATATTGCTTTAATCGGTTTAGTTTATGGAGCAGAAGCTTACATTCCATTAGGGTATATTTTTATTCTAATTATATTTATTATACTTAAAAAATTATTTTTTTTTTATTATTATTGTTAATTGATTTTATTAATTATATTATATTATTTTTTTTTTAGTGAAATGCAAGCTCGTTATGTGGTAAATCAAATTAAAGGATTAATTAATCCTCTCCCATCCCCTCACGAAATGGATGAATCTCTTCATCAATTTTATAAAGAAAATGAACAAATTTATTCTGATCCTGAGCACCATACCTTACACGCACCTACTTTAATATATTTAGATGGGTTAAGTAAAGAAATTGGATGTTATCCTTATTCCTGGGAGATAATTAAAAAATTTGGATTTGTATTTTATTGGAAATACATCATTTTTGGTATGGCTACTCCTCATCAGGTATTTATAATTTATATCCATTTTATATCATTTATATCATTTTATATCATTTTATATCATTTTACACACATTCAATATCATATTTAATATGTTTTATCATTTTTAAAGTATCGATTATTAGGAAGAAATTCTTGGAGTAGAGCAAAGGAAGCAGTTTTAATTTGTAACAATAATAATATATCTAAGAACAAAGATTCTATTTTTCAGATATTATTATCTTTTATTGTTTTATTAATTCTATTTTATTTAACTTTGGGAAAATTTTATAATAATAATTTAGAATAATAATTTATAACAAACCAAACAAAAATTATAGATAAATTCATTTTACACATGAAATTTAATATGATATTGTTTTGTTTACTTCTAACATTTGTAAATATGAATTGAATTATAAGTTGTAAACGATTTTTAACTTAAGAAATTAATAAATTTAATTCTTCTAAAGCTAAATTAAATCTTTCTCTTTCAATTATATCATCAAGGATTCTTTAAATAATTATTTTTATCATTTAATGGATGTTGAACTGTTATGATAATGTTAGTGGAACCTTTATTTGCAACTTGTGACTCATGTAATAAAGAACAGTTTATTAAAGAGTTCGGAACGTGAGAATATTAACATTGATAGGATTATCCAAGAATCTCAAATGAATGGATTATCTGTTTAAACTGAAATAGATACCTTATAATAATTTCCAAGATAATAAACTACTTTATTCTGCTGAATTAAGAAAAAGATTATTGGGATTATAAAAAAAGGATTAGGTGACAATTGATATTTGTAATGGTATTAGATTCCAGAATATTATTTAGAGTAGGCTTCCATCTTTAACCGAATCTCATCCACAATCATACTGTTTATGGGTTACAAGATTTTTTCCTTCCATTGAGATATATTTTTATTCATATACTTAAAAAATTATTTTATTATTATTAATTATTATTACTAATTTAATCTATTATAATTAATTTATTTGATAATAATTATTATTATTATTAATTATTTTATTGTTAATTATTTTATTATTAATTATTATTTTTTTAGTGAAATGAAAGCTCGTTATGTGGTAAATCAAATTAAAGGATTAATTAATCCTCTTCCATCTCCTCACAAAATGAATGAATTTATTCATCAATTTTATAAAAAAAAATTAGTAAAATTAATCCTAATCCTGAGAGTCAGACTTTTCTCGCATTTCTTTTATTATATTAAGTAAAGAAATTGGATGTTATCCTTATTCTTGGGAGATAATTAAAAAATTTGGATTTATGGAAATTCTTGGTTTTTGGCATAATTTTATATAATTTATATATTTTATATATTCAATATTTATTATATTTGATACGTTTTATCATTTTAAAGTATCGATTATTAGGAAGGAATTCTTGGGGTAGAATAATAATTCTAATAACAAATATTCTATTTTTCAGATATTATTATCTTTTATTAATTATATTTTTATTCAACTTGGGAAAATTTTATAATAATAATTTAGAATAATAATTTATAGCAAACAAAAGTTATAGATAAAAAAATTTTCCAGTAAAAAAAAAGCGATAAAAAATGTATGATATTTATTCTGGTGGAGGGTAAGAATGAATTTCTTTTGTCAACAAAAAGGTGAAGCGTGGTAATTCGTTTTATACACATGAAATCTAATATGATATTGTTTTGTTTGCTTCTAACATTTGTAAATATGAAATTAACTTGGGAAATTAATAAATTTAATTCTTCTCTTTAAATAATTGTCTTTATCATTTTAATGGCGAAGCAGATGTTGAATTATTATGGTAATGTTAGTGGAACCTTTTATTTGCAACTTGTGACTTATGTACTAAAAAACACTTTATTAAAAAAGAGTTCGGAACGTGAGAATATCAAATGAATGATAATTTCCAAGATAATAATATTGTTTATTCTGCTGAATTACGAAAAATGGTATAAAAGATTATTGGGATTGTAAAAAAAGAATTGGGACACACATCTGATAATTGATATTTGTAATGGTATTAGATTCCAGAATATTATTTAGAGACTAAAATCTAACAAATCAATTATTTCGAGTACTGTATTAATCATTTAAATGTATCGATTGTGAAAAAAAAAGTAGAGATCAATATCTAATATTTCGATTTTAGATCGTTGATTCAAAAGAATCCGAGGAAGTTTAGATAATGTAAAATTGCATTGATTTTTTTTTTTTAGGCAAAAAAATTATCCTGCTTTTTCATTAATATAAATTATTTATTCTAAAAAAAATCACATAAATATATTTTCTTTTTTGTTTTTGTACGCGGAAAAATAGTTGAGAAAAAATATCTTATTTATATGAAAAATTTTGGTTCCCAACTATAAAAATCATGACTAATAACTATGATGTTTCCGAATAATGATCAATTTAGGAGAATTATTATCAGATAAAATTCACTGTAAAAATTTTAAACACAAAATTCGATTAAAAAAAAAAAAAAAAATCCAATTAATGAATAATTATTGTTATCTCAAAGGAAAATATAATACGTAATAATACGTAATAAAGTTTTTCGTAAATGCCAGATCCGCGCGTCACATACTGTATATAATTTTTTTGTACACCGTACCATAAAAGTAATAACATAACTGATCATAGATGCAAAAAAATATGAAGAAAGAAAGTATGAAACGAAATAGAGGAATGGATAATAAGTAATCACCATTTGAAAAAAAGAGTAACGCTGCCGAATTAAAATCTTTGGGCTTTTCGAAAAGATAATTGATGCAAAGGACTATTAAATTTACATAATATAAAATTCTTTGTTATTAGAATTTCATAGAACATAAGGCTAACCAAATCGAGTATATCTTGTTTTTATATAAAATATAAATCGAGTAATGATTAAAAATCCACATTTTTTCTGTTTAAAACTTATATATCTTTTTTTTTTTTTTCTTTCCCAAAATTTAAAAAAAAATACGATATGAAAGAATCGAATGAAAAGCGAATCGCAATTATCGGTGCTGGTAATTTTTATATAATTAATTTAATGATAATAAAATATTAAAAATGTTAAAAATGTATTATAATAATAATATTATCTTCTGTAAGGTATTTCTGGTCTTCCATCAATTAAAGAATGTTTAGATAATAATTTGATTCCTGTTTGTTTTGAACAAAATTCTTTTATTGGTGGGCAGTGGAAAGTCGAAGAAAGGAATGAAAATAATAAAGATTTTTATTCCTCGATTTATAAAAATCTCTTAACTAATACTTCTAAGGAAATGGTGTTAAAATATTATTTAATATTATCAGTTTGTTATATTATGTTATTTTTTTTTTTATGATTTTTTTTTTTTTATATTAATTATTTAGTCGGCATATTCGGATTTTCCAATGCCGGCAGAATGGCCAAACTTCATAGGTTCTTCTCTTGTTGAAAAGTATAAAAATTATTATTATTATTATTACTTATTAATTTATTTATAAATATATTAAAATAAATATATTACTATTCTTTAGATATATTGAAATGTATGCTAAAAAATTTAATCTTTTACCACACATCAAGTTAAATACTAAAGTATTAAATGTATCAATTCTTGATGATAAACGATGGAAAATTAAATATATTACTCAAGATCAAAATAATATCAAAAATAATAAACATAATAAAAATAAGATTACTCCAAATGAAGAAAAGGAAGAAATATTTGATTATGTAATGGTTTGCAGTGGCCATCATAATCTTCCTCAATTACCAAAGTTTAAAGGAATGGGGAAGTTTAAAGGTGAACAAGTTCATTCCCGATTTTATAATGAGTGAGTTTTTTTTTTTTTTTTTACCTTTTTTTTTCATTTTATTTACAAAATTCATTATTACGACTAATTATTCTATAATTCATATTTATTATTATTATTATTGTCATTATTGCTAATTAATGGTAATTCATATTTATTATTATTATTATTCTTATTCTTATTTATTATTTGTTATTTTTGTAATTTAGCCCAGAAGACTTTAAAAATAAACGCGTTTTAGTTGTTGGTAATGGATCCAGGTAATTATTTATACTTGATTGTAATTAATTATTAATATAGGACAATTGTTTATTTATTAATATTTGATTGTATATATTAGTGGATTAGATATTGCAGTACAATTATCCCCTGTCGCTTCACAGGTTTATCTAAGTATTCGATCTGGTGAATATTAATCTACCTTAGTTTTTATTATAATTTTATCAAATTAATTTATTAATTTATTCTTTTAAATATATATATATAAATATATGTATGTATATAGGAAGACTACCTTTGATAATTCCTCTTTATCTAAAAGGAAAACCACTAGATCATTATTCTCGATTTAGAATGTATGCTATTCCTGCTAAAATTCGGAGAAAACAAATGGAAAAAACAATTTTAAATACTTATGGTCCATTACCTACTCATTTAGGAAATTCAGATACCTTCTTTAATACGGAATCAACATGCATAAATAACGGTATCATTGAATGTATAAAGAATGGAAGTGTTATCGTAAAACCGAATGTTCATGAAATGAAATCAAAAGAAAATAAACAAATCGAATTTGTTGATGGAAGCATTTTAGAAGATATTGATTTTATCATTTATGCTACTGGATATAAATTAAATTTTCCATTTTTAGATAAAAGTATTATTACAGGAGGGAATGAAATTGAACAAGAATATGAAGAAAAATTTAAAGAAAATTTAGTTTGGTTATATAAAAGAATATTTTCTGTCAATTATCCGAATATTGCGTTTCTTGGTTTACTTTATAAGGCAGGTTCTTTCCTTCCATTGAGGTATATTTTTATTCAAATTATACTTAAAAAATTATTTTTATTATTATTATTATTATTAATTTTTTATTATCATTAATTATTTATTTTATTAATTAATTAATTATTTTTATTTATTTTTTTTTTTAGTGAAATGCAAGCTCGTTATGTGGTAAATCAAATAAAAGGATTAATTAATCCTCTTCCACCCCCTCACAAAATGAATGAATCTATTCATCAATTTTATAAAAAAATTAGTAAAATTTATCCTAATCCTGAGAGTCAGACTTTACGCACACCTCCTTTATTATATTTAGATGAATTAAGTAAAGAAATTGGATGTTATCCTTATTCTTGGGAAATAATTAAAAAATTTGGATTTATGTTTTATTGGAAATTCTTGGTTTTTGGTATTGCTACTCCTCATCAGGTATTTATAATTTTATATAATTTTATATATATTTTATATATTCAATATTTTAATCCGTTGTATCATTTTTAAAGTATCGATTATTAGGAAGGAATTCTTGGAGTGGAGCAAAGGAAACAGTTATAATTTGTAACAATAATAATAATAATTCTAATAACAAATATTCTGTTTTACGGAAATTGTTATTTCTTATTGTTTTATTTATTATATTTATTCAACTTTGGGAAAATTTTTTAATATAATAATAATTTCTAATAATAATAATAATAATAATAATAATAATAATAATAATAATTTATAGTAATAATTTCTAATAATAAATAATAAATCATTTATAACAGCAAAAACAACAAGATATAATTTTTAATTTGCATTTTATTTTATTTTATTTTATTTTTATTTTTGTTTTCATGGATAAAAAGTAAATAATAAAAAATATATATGCAGATTTTTTTTTTTTGAAAAAAAAAAAATTAATTATAATACAGATATGTGTAATAGATATATTAGATATATTAGATGGTTTTTTTTTTATTCATGAATTATTATCTTTTTCTAACTTCCTTCATTATTTTCAGAAATTTTCTCATTCTCATTTCAAATATTTTCACTGTTGTTTACTACCTCTTGATCAACAATTATAGTTAACACAGTTGAATCTTCAGTTACTGAATTTGTTGATTCTTCAGTTATTGAATTTGCTGAATTTTCAGTTATTGAATTTGTTGATTCTTCTCCTTCATCTATATTACTGTTATTATTATTATTATTATCATCATCTATGTTATTATTTGATATTATATTATTCACTATATCTTCCTCCTCCTCCTCTTCGTTATTCTTATTCGTAGCGTTCTCATTCTTATTCACAATATTTAAATTCTCATTCTCATTCACAACATTTAAATTCTCATTAAAATTACTCGTGACACTATTAATATTCTCCACAATCTCAATATTCTCAACATTCTCAACATTCTCAACATTCTCAGCATTTTCATCTTCAATACTCACCACTTCCAAAGTTTCATGATATTTAGGTAACGATAAACCATCGTAAGGAGGTAAAGATTCATCAATAGAATAATTTGCTGAATCCGTGACTCGTAAAGTTCGATGACGACTAAGGTGACGACTAAGATGACCATTATTGTTGTTGTTGATGATGTTGTTGTTGTATTCATTATTTTTTTTAATTCTATTAATACATTTAAATAACCAAAATATTATTTCCACAAAAACTATTATTGAAATTGTTATTAAAATCCAATTCATCGCTTGAATTTTACCACCCCCGTTCACATTATTATTACCATCACCATCTCTCGGACTTGATGTGGGGGTGAGATTAAGGTTAGATGTGGAGGGGTTAGGTGGCGCTGGTAATGAATCTATTGGTATTATTAACATTAATAAGATTATTGTTGTGGTATTGGTGGTGAGAAATAAATTCTTTGATTTTCTTGGTTTTGACTTTTTCATATTTTTTTGTTAAAAAGAGATAGAAGATACAAATTTATTTTTTAATTTAAATAGTTTTTAAAACTAGATCAAAAAAGAAAAGAAAAAAAATATATAATGACGATATCGATAATGAAAAAAAAAAATGAAAAAAAAATTGTTGACAGTATTTATTGGAATTATATATAAAGTGTGTGTGTGTGTCGCGTTGTGTGTGTCAAAAGTAATTATTAATGCGTTTTCCAACTTTACCAAAAGAAAAAACAATAAACATGATAAACAACAAGTAATTTAAATAATTGAAACTAAGTCCAAAATGGATAAACAATACAAAGAGAAGATATTTATTTGATAAGTTAGTATAAAAATGGTTGTTTCTTTTTTCTACGTTTGTAATGTTTCTAATATGTTTGAATACATGAGAATGAAATAGAATGAATATGAAATAGAAAGGAATGAAATGAAATGAAATAAAATGAAATGAAATAAAATGGAATGAAATAAAATGAAGTAAAAATAGAATGAAATGGATAATAGGAAAAAAATAAAAAAAATACGAGAAATAAAAAAATTAAAAAAATTAAGAAAATAAAATAAAAAACCTAAATTAAACAACTTATATTAAAAAAAAGAATTTTTTAAATTATTCGAAAATTTAATTAAAAAGGAATTCCTTTAAAAGTTAAAACTCGATATCAATTAGTCTGGTTTTATTTTAACTTTATATAATTTCTATTAATAAAAAATAAAATAAATAAAATAGAAATAACAAAAATAAAAAAGCCAAGAAATTGGTATATATATTTGGTATATTTGGTCATATAGCAGACCGGAATTATTTTCTTTTCTTTCCATGCCTTCCATTGCGATCATCTTTAAGAAATTTTTTTTTATCAGTTACCATCGTGTCGTCTAATCGGATAAAAAATTTCTTCATTACCGTATCACAAATGTTAATGCAATAAATATAAACTACCACTAAAAAATTATTTATATTATTTAGTATTTCTATTATATTTTGTTAATTTTCATAATATTTATATTATTTTGATTATTTTGGATTAGTTTATAAAATTTACGCAAGATTTTTAAAGGGTTAATTAATCATTTACACGTTTTGGATTAAGTAATACGTATATCACATTCAAGTTTTTTTTTTTTTTTAAAAAAAAAAATGATTTTTTTTTTTTTTTTTTTTTCGTTTGTTTGTTTAAATTTATTATAAAAATTTACTAAAAACCGATATAATTATCGTATATATATATATATCATGTGTATATATTAATTATTACGATAAGCATTATCTGAAACATTACAGAAACAATCAAGACCCCTAAGTGTGTTAAATAAATTATATATATAACAATAATTATATTATTGTTATTATTATTAGTAATAAATTTCATTACATTGCATTGATACTAATATTTTTTTGATATTTTGATTAATATTTTGACTTATAAAAGAAACTTTAAACAATATTTTTATTTGATCGAAATTCTATTATGTAAAAAATATTTTATAAATATTTACAATAAACAACTAAATTACTGGTTTTCTTTTTTTTTTTTTTTTTTTTAAAAAAAAAAAAAGAGAATATCTAATTTTGATGATCGCAGTTTAATTTTTGTGAGACTTATAAAATATACTTTTTGACAATGGAAAAAGACTTTAACTGGTTAAAGTTCATTGTGTGTATCTAAATGCACGAGACATGAGAATCACACATAGCACATAATGCACACTTAACACATATATAAACACACAACACATACATAACACACATATAACACTAACACATATGGTCTGTTTTTTGATTTCTTCAAAAATTTCACAACAAAGCAACACAACACAATAACAAAGCATAAATCAAAAACGACACAATACCATAAAGTAAGTAAAAGCAACACAAAGCATTATTACTTCACAATGCGTTTTTAAAGATCACTTGACGTGTGCCCATCAAAATAAATTAAACACGTATGTAATTATGTAATTATCTCTAAATTCATATAATTATATTTCCAAATTATCCAAAAATTGTCATCTATTTATAATTTATGTAATCTCAAACCTTTTTTCATTTTTCATTGCATATCTATTAAAATGGCAAGTGGCGTGACACAATTTCATTATCATTGACTAATCTTCAATTAGTAATAATTTTATAATAATAATTAGTGAGTTTGATACCACCAAACTTTAATACCCATTTATATTATTTGGTTTTTTTTTTGCCCGCGCTTTCGGATATTTGTAAACCATCCCGTCTCTCAAATACTCACGAGGGCTTGACAACTACGATTGCTGATACCGCCGATTACTGCTGATATTAAAACATTAAAAAATTTAATATTATGTAATTATTGATATAATTATTATTGATTGATGTTATTATTGATTTTATCATGACGAACTAAGAATAAACTGTATATTCTATAATTTCAAATTATATTTTATGCTATTTTATGATCGATATTCGTTATTTATATTCGTTATTTTATATTTCTTTAAATCAATTATTATTTTATTATTGGATGAATAACTAACTCGATAAAAGAATAAAGTATGACAAATGACGTGTATTCTGTATTTTTTTTTGAATATATTTTATTTTACTAGTTTTTATTACTTTGTTATTTTTTTGTTGATCAAATTCCGATAACAATAATAATAATTAAAACTATTTTTTTAACACTTTGCATTTTTTTTTTTGTTTTACAAAAAAAGTCTATCAACTTTATTTTTTTTTTATATAAAAACTTTTTTTTTCTTTTGAATTTTTTTACCTAGTTTCATTTATTATATATATATATATATATATATTATTATTATTATCAATTATTATTCATTATCAATTTTTATCTGTTATACATACAACATATATATATATATATATATATATATTTTATTATTGCCTTCAAATCAATTATCAATTATTATTATATTATTATTATTACCACAACCAATATTTTACCATTTTACCATTCTTTTAAAATTATTCCTTTTTAATAATATAGACAAAATAGGTAAGATAGCAAAAGGCAAAAGTGAAAGTGAAAGAGAGAGTTTACCAGGATTTAAAAGAATTAAAAATTAGTTAGATTCATTAAATCTGCGCGGGCAATAATGGCATCAAATCAACAACAGTCAACTACCAAACCTGATATTAAAGTAGGTTTCAGACTTAATGATGAATACGCGGATACATTAATGCCAAGAATTAGGGAATTATTGCGTTGTGATTCTCATTCGTCTCATTCGAATCGGTAAGGTCATTATTATCTTTTTCTCGACTTCCTTTCCTTCTTTTTTTTTTTTTCTCTTTTTTTTGGGGGGATTTATGGATTTCGAACAATGAAAAATAAAAATAAAAATTATTGTTATAATTATTATAGATTTCCGGGAGCTCAACCAGTTTATTTAGAGAAATGTCATTTCAAATTATTGGAATCAGAGGAATATTTCGTACGTGATAAAACCGATGGAAAGCGATACATAATGTTCTTCACAGCAGTTGATGGCGGTACAGCATTTATGGTTCGCAAGAATAATTTGATATATAATTTAATATATAATTTCATATATAATTTGATATATAATTTAACATTTAATAATTTTAATTCAAAAAAAAAAAAAAAAAAAAAGATGGATGAATTAAATAAATTTAGAATTTTGACAAATTTTAAGTTACCGTTAAGGAATAATCATAATGCAATACATAACGAAACAATGATGGATGGAGAAATTGTGATGGAAATTGATAATAATAAAGTAATTCAAATATTTATACCTAATATTTTTTATATATAATTCTTAATTTTATATGATAAAATTTTTTTAATTTGTGAATTTTGTAAATATTTTAATTTGTTAATTATTCCCATAGCAAAGATTACGTTACCTGATATTTGATCTTATGGTTTTGAATGGAAGTATTCTCATAGAGAGACCATACAATAAACGAATGGGTGTAAGTGATTTTTATTTATTTATTATTAAATTTTAATTGAATATAATTAAATATCAATTTAAATATAATAAAATGTTAATTAAATTTTAATAAATTATTAATTAATTATTAAAATATTATTTTAGATGTTAAGACAAGATGTAATAGAACCATTAAATGCGGTATTGGAAAGAAATTCTGATATGAAAAATAAAATGCCATTTTCGTATGTATTTATATTTATTTATTTTATTTTTATTTTATTTTATTTTTTTGTTTATAAATATATATACATTTTATTCATCATAATTTTATCATCATTATCATCATCGTCGTCGTCATCATTTATTTTCATCATCATCATCATCACCATTATTTCATTCATTCTCAGTTCATTTATTTTTACTCGTGATAAAAATTATTAATCATCTGATTTGTTTATAATAAAAAATTTTTTTTATTAGGATGGAAATAAAAAGTATGGAATTATCATATGGTTTGATGAATGTATTACAAAAGGCACCTTCGTTAAAGTATGGAAATGATGGTTTAATATTTGTTCCGGTAAATCATCCTTATCAACCTGAGAATTGTGATAAACTGTGAGTTGATTCATATTTATTTTTTTATATATATTATTTTATTAAATTTATTTTATATTATTTATTAAATTTATTATATTATTTATTAAATTTATTATTATTTATTATATTTTATTAAATAACTTATTATTATTATTATTATTATTATTATTTAGTCTAATATGGAAGCCAACAAATCTTATGTATGTGGATTTCAAAATAAGTGTAGTTAAAACTGGCAAAGATAAGAAACCAATATATCATCTTTTGATTTCTGATGATAATAAAGATCGTAAAGATGATACGATAAATCATAAATTTCATGATTATTTAACTTTGGATCCAAAATCTGAAGCCGAGTAAGTAATTTTATTCAAATAATATAATAATCAAAAAATATATACTCAAATATACTTAATTTTATATATATTGTACTTAAGATGGCAACGTGATTCACCTGATGGTATCATTGGTCAATTTTGGTACGATAAACATTGGAAAACTATAGTTTACGACTCAAATCCGTATCCTCGTGACGGTGGTTGGAGGTGATTACTTGTAACAAATTTTTATCAACTTTATAATTTAGAATTTTAAATTTTAAATTAAAAATAAATTATTATTATTATTATTATTATATATATTTTAGATTTCATCGATTTCGACACGATAAACATACAGCTGACACGGAACAAACGTTAGCTGAAGTTTGGCATAGAATTCTTTATTCTGTTCCTAGAGATACGGTAAAAATTATTTATAAAGTATTTTTTCTTTTAAAAAAATAATTTTTAAATAATTAATTTCAGATAATTAATCGTGATTAATTATTAATTTTAAAGATGGAAATACAAGTAAATATCATAAGAGATAATTGGAAACAACGTCAGGCTAAAAAATCTGGGAATTCTCGAGTTGTTCCTTCCGCACCATTTTTACAAACACCCACTAATTCTCAGACAAGGTATCAAAATTATTCATGATTTTCTACAAAAAATTTAAAAAAAAAATTAAAATTAAAATAATTTAATAATTATGATGATTCTCGTTTACTTATAGTTACTGTCCTGAACCCGGTCCTTCATTAACTTCACCAACAACACTTTCCAACAATAGTAATCAATCAACATCTTTATCTGATTCTGTACAACCACCTCCTCAGAATTCATGTCAACCTCGATTTTCTCCATTTGATTCAAGTATTTCAAATGTTGAACCGTTGGAACGACAATTAACTTCTGATCATCCATATTTTGGAAATTCAAATAATATTTCTCAAGAAATTATTACTACCACTTCACCTGAGGGAAATGGATGTGATGTTGGTTTACGACCGTCAAAAAATACAAAAAATATTAAAAATATTGGAGTTACTCCTTTTCCTTCATTTCAATATCCAATATCATTAGATCTTCAAAGTGATGTTAATAATTATGAACAAAAAGAAGATTCTTCGAATGAAGAAAAAGTTCTTGTTACAACTACTACTGAGAATTTACAAAATAATTCGGATTTATCGAAATTACCGGAAAATTTATTATCATTAGAAATCAATGAACGTAATGTAAACAACAACAATGAATCTAATGATGGTGAGAAATCAAAATCTAAACAACCTTTGTCTGATATAAATGAAAATAATAAAGAAGAATTAAAAGATCATAATGAATATGATATTCAACCAACTACATCACCACCTAAACAAACATTACTTTTACTATCATCATCTCCTCCGCCACATCCTCCATCAGCTCCACGAATATCTCATCAAGAACTTCAACCTTTGCCTGACGTAAATGTTCCAATAAGAAATCCTTGTATTTATGATGATTACAGTTCAAATAATGATGATTCCGATTCCGTTGATTCTCATTCAGTGAATCGTCGGATGTCATTTATGAGCACAGAATCTATTTTGCCTCGTGATTTGGACGAAAATATATCCAAACCAAATTTACCTTTAATTTCAGAAAATTCACTTGAGTCAAATAATAATAATAATAATAACAACAACAACAATAATAATTCACTTTCGAATTTAAAAATTGAATCATCACAAAAAAAATGGGAGGAAAATAATCCTAATGTTTCTTCTGTTGAAAGTCATGAAAATATTAATGATGAAAATAATCCTTTACAACTTTTAGTACTTGCTTCAAATCAACGAGAAATGGCTGGAATGAATAGAAATTTTATTCCACCTAAGCAAAAAGAAATTAATGTCAATAATAATAATAATAATAATAATAATTCAAATCAACAAATGACTGAAATTAATTCAGAAATGTTTCGAAATAGTGATTCAGGGAATGTACAGAATGAAGCTAATGTATTACAACAATTTTCGGATATTGTATCGGCTCAACGTGCAATCGAACATGATCCGTTACAAAAATTATCGGAACTTGCTCTTAGTCAAAAGCCATTACAAGTAACTTCAAAAAAATATACTCGACGGGAATCTCAACAAGAGATACAACCTAAAACAATACAACCATCTCCCCCCGAACCTAGATTTCAAATAAATGATAATCGAAGGCCTCCTTCAGAACCTCGACCACGATCACGAAAGCCGAGACGAAGATCACTTGAATCTCAAAATGTAATACAAAAACCTCAAGATTCTCGATACAAAATGATAGAAAATACTTCACAACAAGAATTTCCTATTCCACTACTACAACAAAAAAATCGACAATTGCCGATACAAAGTGAATCTGATATACCTTTACAAGAAAATCAATATACACGAAGGTATCAAGATAATCAACCGAAATTACAAGTAGAATCTCACAATACTTCGGATCCTTCTCAAGTTTCGTTACAACCACAAATGCAACAATTTCCTGAATCAAGATTTACTCACTTGCATCAAGAAATTACACCTCATCAAATTCAACAACAATTTATTGAATCTCGTCGTATTATTATGCAAAATAATCAATCACAACAACCTCCCAATGTACTTACGGAACAACAAATGCAACAAATACAACAAATGCAGCAAATGCAGCAAATGCGACAAATGTATCAGGAACAAATGCAAAAAATACAAGATTCTCGAATATCGAAACATCAAGAACCAATAAAAGAATATTCTCCTGATTTCTATCAAATGCAAGAATTACAACGAATTCAATCACAACAACGACAACAACAACAACAACAGCGACAACAACGACAACAACAACAGCAACAACAACAACAACAACAACAACAACAATTACCTCAACAATATCAAGGAGTTCGAACGCAACGATCTCAATCATTTTCACATGACACGCGACCTCATATAATTCGTCAAGATCCTATTTCAATGCAAGATAATAGTTCATCACAAATTTTAGATCTAATGAGACGAACACAATTTCCAGAAGTTCGACAAGAATTTCAAGAAACTGGAACATTTTCAGAACGATCAAAATGGGATCAAAATGTGGGATATGAGAGATTTGATCCCATGAATAATATTAATAATAATATTAATAATAATATTAATAATGTTAATAATATTGCACCAAATTATCGACAAAGACGACATACATTATCTTCGGGTAATACAATATATTCGAAATCAATGTCAGTAAATATACCATATAATATACAACCTCCACAAACACAATCATCACCACCCCTACCACCACTACAGTCACAGTCACAGTCACAGTCACAATCGCAAAATAATCAAGTCGTGCCGCTGCCATCACCATCATCGAATATTTCAAATATTTCGAATATGTCTTCATCAGGAATGGGAAATTCTTTATCACAAATACCCGAGGAATCACGTGACTCACTTCAATTTATAAATTTCACATCACAAACGAATAATCAACAAAACAAGCAATCCTTTTCAATAAGATCAAGGCCTGCACCAACCAAACGTAAATCTAAAGGTGCACTTGATTTTATACTTAATACATCGGGATCAGGCGAATCTAGTCAAAAACGTTCAAAATTTGATGAAAATAATAGTGGTGAACAATATTAATTTAAAAAAATTTCGTGTTTTATTTTTTATTTTTTTCTTTTTTTGTATTAAAAAAATTTCTAAAAGCTTTGATTTGACTAAATTTAATTGATATCAAAAAATTTGGGGGTTTTTTTTTTATTAGTATTTGATTTTATATCATTTGAGTATATATATAAGTTGATTTGGTATAAATAAATAAACACCTTAATTTTTTTTTTTCTTTGTAGATATTTCTCATATTTAAATTTTTATTTTTTTTTTATTTCCCTCATTTTTTTCTTCATTATTTTTATTCTCATTATTTTTTTTTTTGCAATATTTTTTTTTTTTTATTTTTTTTTTATTTTAGTAATAATAAAAATATTATCTGTTTATATACATGTCAATATTAACTATAAAGTTTTTTCTTGTGATTTAGGATTTGTTTTTTTCATTCTTTTTTTTTCAAAAAAAAAAGGATGTGTATAATAATAAAAAAAAAAAAATAAATGAATGATTTATCATTTGAAGTATTATATTATCTTTACGTGAATTAATCAATTAATCAAAAAATTAAAAAAAAAAAAAAAAAAAAGAATAAAATTTATAATTTTTTCCTCAATTTCTTTATTTCTAATGAACAATTCTATACCTAAAGAAAGCACGTCACGAAATGCGGTATATATTCATATTTTAAAAGAATCCCAATTATAAAGATTTTTTTTTGATGTCAACACGTTAAACGTCACGTTCTGATGTATAATGTCATGTTACATAATGTGATTTGTTATTTAAATTTATCGTTTTGATATTATTCAATGCTTTCTAATTCTTTACGAAGCCAGGATGATCAATATTTTAATATGTTAGAGTGAGCAGTAAAAGTTTTCTCAAAATTATTTCTTTTTGAAATATTGAAATATTTATTAATTTAATTTATTAATTACCTATACAAAATAAATATTCAACTAAAATAATAATCATTAATAGAATAATAATTTGATATATATCCATAATTTCAAAAACAACCAAGTAGTTTTCTTTTTGGATTTGAAAACTTCACAATAAAATTTTCTCCAATACAAAAACTGCCTCCAAAATTAGGACCATGATCCCTTTTCATATTTATAAACCGCATAATTGGGGTATTTACTCGGCTAAGAATTGAATTTTGTATTATTACCATTTTTCAATGTTTCGACTTTGAATTGCTGTAAGAGAATTCGCTTCATTTGTACCACAGTAGAATTGAAAAATTAAACTCCACACAATTTTAAATAATAATGTAATACTTATAAAATGCAATCATTATACCTTCTGTAATTATCCCATTGTTCTAATTCATTCCATTGTCTATTAGTCTAGCTTCCACTGATGAGATGAAATTTGAATTTCGTTTAAAAATTAGGTGGATCGAAGAAAGTATTCTTACCAACCCTCTCTTTGCTTTGCAGATTTCGACGTCGTAGTTAGCCCGAGACGGACTAAATCATTCAAGTGGACCCTCGAAGGCCTCAAAAGATTCCCGAAACTGTGTGAACTCTATAGGCTTAGTGACGACCCGAATCCTAAGCATGAGAAGTATAAAGAAGCCTTGCGTAAACTTTTTGACGAATTGGAAACGCGCATTGCAACAAACCACTTCGACGTATCGTACGAGGCCACAAAAAGCATATCAAATAAAGATAGTACCTGAGAAGTTGGTCGAGGGCAAAAATGGTCGTGGAAATCTTGACTGTGGTGTTGAATCGCGTACAACTGGGAGAACGATTGGCTTGTTCGAGGTCAAAAAGATGACTTTAAGCAGGGCTTTGCACAGGCCACCGTACAGATAGAATCTTCACTATCTCGCAAACGCAAGGCAAATGAAATAGACGACGAGTACGATATGGATAAAGTATGAGGGATTGTAACAGATGCGGAAAAATGGTATTTCATGGAATGTACGCTAGACAGTGAAGGGAAGCCATCGTTCAAGTTGTCAAAACTGGTGGTGGGATCCGTTTAAGACTTATCGGATAGGTACTTTGGTAAACGGATGTTTTTTCCGGATAAACGCAAATCGGAATAATTCATGATTGTTAGCACATATAAAACATTTTATTTTAATATGTGAATGTCAAAACGGTATTAAGTAATCTTAAAGAAAAAATAAATTGCGTATTATATTAAAAGAACAGACCTATATCATCAAAATTTAGAGAATTATTAGCGGTTAAATTTCGAACGGGTAAAAACATTTTAAATGACAATTGTTCGGTCAATTTTGAAGATATACATCTGTCCTTTAAATATAATACGCAATTAATTCTAAACTTTGAAGTTACTTAGTACTGTTTTTGATATTCACAAACAATATAAAAAGTCTTATATGTAGCAACGATAGGCGATTTTGTTATAATTATATGTAATAATAACATAATTATACAAAATCGTCGATCGTTGTTACATGTATATTGTTAGTGAATGTCAAAAACGGTACTAAGTAACTTCAAAGTTTAGGATTAATTTCGAACAATTGTCATTTAAAATATTTTCGTCCGTTCGAAATTTAACCACTAATAGTTCTCTCAATTTTGATGATATAGTGTCACAGGAGTGCAGAGTATTTCGAACAATTTCTCAAATCAGTCTCTCAGTTTGCATCACACAAACAAATAATAAT